AGAAGGGTGCAACAATGAATGAATGGAATTCCAAAATCTCTGTAGATGTTCATTGAAATGAAAAATAAACAACCTAAATTTAAAAAAAAATTAAAACATTTATTTGTATTTTCTTTTGTGTATGGGATACATTTTTACTTACTCAGTTAATTTTAAAAAATAAAATTTATTTCCATGAATTTATCTTCCTACTTCCCTGTAAATTCTAATGGCATATGTGGGGAGGAAAACTGTGATATTGACTTGACATTCAAAGTAGTGAAAACTTTTTAAAGTTATAATTGCTTTAGTTTTGTGAGTGCTTAATATAATGCTGAGTAGATTTATTTCTTAGAGTAATTTTTAGCACACAGGTTGGTTAAGGTTACTCAAGGCAAATAAAAATCAGTAGGTTGTCACATTTTATTCTTTTTAATTAACCATAGGCTCAAGAGGATGCCGAAAAGCTTCGGTCTGTTGTGATGCCGATGGAGAAGGAAATTGCAGCTTTGAAAGATAAACTAACAGAATCTGAAGATAAAATTAAAGAGCTGGAGGCCTCAAAGGTTGTGAGACTTGTGTGTGTGTATGTAGAATACATGTATAAAATGATATTTTTAATTGTGATTTTAGTGAAAGTTCACAAAGAGATTGGTTTTCATTCATACATAATACATTTTTCTCCCTACCCCCTCCCTCAATTCTCTTTGTAATGCCTGTCCTATTCCAGATTGTTAAATGTTGTACATACTATATGTTTAATGGTCCATTCCTTTCCAATTCCCTTCACCTATTCCAGTGCAGTGTTAATTATCTATCCATTCTTTTCCCATTTCCCCACCCTTACCCCACCAAGTCCATCCTATTTTAACAGTAGTCTAATGCAGCATTTGTCCTGAGTGATATTTCACTCAGTGTTATGGCTTCAAGATTCATTCATTTTGTGTGGTGTTTTATAAGTTGATTAGTTTTCATTGTTGCACAATACTCCATTGTCTGGACTTACCACAGCTTTCTCTATACATTCCTTTGTTGATGGGCACGTGTGGTACTACTGTCTTTTGCTGTTGTGACTAATGCTGATATAAATATCGGTATGCATACATCTGTTGTATCACAGCTCTGAATTCTTTGAGATTTATTCCCAATAGTGGGATAGCCAGATCAAATGGTTTTTCTATTTTCAGCTTTTTGAGGCAACATGAGACTGCCTTGCATAATGACTGTACTGTTTTACAGTCCCACATGCAGTGTATGAGAGTTCTTATCATCTGCGTCCTTGCTAGCATTTGTCTTTTGCTGTCCTGTTGAATTTTGGTATTGTTGCGGGGATAAGATGATATCTTATTGTTATTTGATTTACATCTTCCTAATAGCTACTGATTTTGAGCATTTTTTTCTTGTGATTGTGTGCCATCTGACTTTGGTTGGTAAAGCATCTGGCTATATCTTATAGTGCCCATTTTGTGGTTGGATTGTTTGTCTTTTTCTTGTTGATGCACTGGAGTCTTCTATAAGTTTTTTATACGAGTCACCTATCAGATCTGACATTGCCATATATTTTTTCCAGTCTGTAGGTTTCCTTTTTGCACTTTTGGAAAAATTGTCTGATGCACACAAGAATTTGATTTTCAGAAGGTCCCCATTCATCTATTTTGTCATCTCCTGGTTGTAGCGTTTTAGTTATGCTTGAAAGTCTATTCGTGTTTTTTTTTATTATTATTATTAAATTTTATTAGTTTTAATGAAC